CCCACCCATCCACCCACCCATCCACCCACCCACCCACCCACCCACCCACCCACCCACCCACCCACCCACTCCGCCCCAAAGCCTGCCACCCACCATCCATCTCTGCTCGAACGCATGACGTCACCGCATGAGGGAGTGGCGTGGGGAGCAACATGTTGAGTTGAGCCGCCGCGTCAGGAACCGGCATGTTGAACACCACTCGCCCCTCGTCACTGCCGCCGTCGCCGCTCATCACGTGGGAAAACAGTTGAACCCATCAGCACTGGAATGAACGGGTGGAGGAAAACAAGTGGGTCAGGCAGGCAATCAGGGAAAGGTTAGTATCGACGGTTACCACGGAGATATGTGAACAACATCATATCTTCTCTGCCTGCTGATCGCAACTCGCCCAGTAGACTCGCAACTCTTTCTCGACCTTTCCCACCTAGTCAAGCACCTTCTCACCATTCCTCTCCTCCTCAACCACTGGTCCGGGAAGGGCACCCGGAGGTGGTCTGTCTGTTAAGCCGGCACATGCGCATCTCTTTTGATCGACTAAAAAACGGTCTGTCTGTTCAGCCGGCACATGTGCATCACTTTTGGTCGACTCAAAAACGGTCTGTCTGTTCAGCTGGCACATGTGCATCACGTTTGGCCGACTAAAAAACGGTCTGTCTGTTCAGCCGGCACGTGTGCATCACTTCTGGTTGACTCAAAAAACGATTGGGTCGCAGCACCCCCATACGCCTGCCAAGCAAACGCCGCCATCGCAACCGAGGATGGCCTTTGAGTGAGCGGGAATTGGGAAAGACAATCGTCGTAGGTCCAATGAGGTGAGAGATTGAGGGAGAGACTCAGAAAGCATCACCACTCGCCGATCGCTACCCCACCACGAATCCATCGCGCTCACTCTCACCCCCTCATCACATGGTAACCAACACCACCACGAATCCATCGCTGACAGCACCGCGCGGCCACTGATCAATCTGCTCGTGCGCACGTGCTTCGCGTGCCGCACCGCGAGGGGGAAGGGGGGATGGGGAGAGGAAGCCCGCGGCACCGTTACGGCGCATGTGCTTTGCTGCTCACGTCTGCTCGCGCGCGCGCGCAGTCAAATGTGGGTCCAATGCGCTCGTTTCTGCCGCCGCCGCTCACATCTCTTCCCGCTCACGTGCTTGGTTGCGTGCCGTTGCGCCCTGCCGATCATTTCGCAGCGGGCAACATGCAACGCCTTTTAGCGGCGGGAACTCAGCGCTCGTGAAATAGAAGGTGGCACGGGGGAGGTGCGGAATGACGACGGACGGAACGTGGCGGTGAGAGTGGGACAGAGATGCAGAAAGAGTCGATGCGTGCCACGACGACGGCGCCATGCGTGGTTGCAAAACGCGCAGCGGCGACATGGGGGACGACATGGCGCAGTTGTTCTTCTTCCCCCCACCTCCTTGCCGCTGCTGGTGCTTTTTGGAGGCAACCCTATGTGTTGCCCCCATTCCCCCCTCAACTCCTCTACCAGCACCACGCCTGCGAGCCTCATAAAAAACCAACACCTCCCATATCCATGCCTTGGTCCATTTCTTCTGCTCAAGGAGAAGGTACTGCAGTAGGGCCTCATTCGCCTCTTGGTCCAGCCCTTGAAGTGCGGTGTAGATGATCTCCTTCTCATCTACTTTGTAGTTCAACTCCTCCAAGGCCCTCATATCCTCATCCACCCTCTAGAGGTACTGCACCATGGTCTCCCTATCGCCATAGTTACGTTCCATGGTGTAAAACCACTTCATCCGAGTGAGTATGCTTGGGAGTCATTTTTGCAAGTGCCGATCTTGAACTCTCTTCCATGCTAGGGCAGTTGCTCCTTGCTTCCCCTTCAGGTCAATCAGCACCTTTAGGAGCTCTATTTGGCCTTCCAAGGCCCAACACAGGTACTGGAACGCTTGCCTGTCCTTCCGGTCCCATGCTTCCTGTGCCTTAAGTAGCTCCTTTGCACTAAGCCATGACCAACCCTATATCAGTAGTACCTTCACACGGTACTCATCAAGCTCGGATTTCAGCAGCTCCTGCACGACCAAGGAATGTACCGCCTTGATTCCTGTAGAAACTACATCCTGCTCGTCGCCCACGTGGACGACCTCCTGTACACCGTGAATGACACGGAGCTGCTCGATCGCTTCGAGCACAACATCAAGGAGAAGCTGGAAATGACCGTCTCCCACGACGTCACCCAGTTTCTGGGGCTCAACAACCTCCAGTCCGCGATAATATTCATCTATCGACCGCCAAGTACACAAAAATGCTCGCGAAGAAGTTCGGCATCGCCCCTATCAACCTCACCACACCATTACGATCCTCTCCACCTAACGACGAGCCCGACACCACGCCACTCTCCGCATCAGATCGTCGTCTTTACCAGCAGCAGCTAGGCTGCCTTCTCTTAGTTGTCGTCACGTGCCGACCGAACTTATCCTATGCCGCTAACCAGCTTACCCAGCATCTGCGCCGACCTGAAGGGGAGCATATGGCGGACCTCCGACGAGCACTACGATACTTTGTTTCTAGACCTGATGTTGGCCTGACCTACAAAGCTAACTTATCGGCTCCTCTAAAGATAACAGGCTACGTGGATGCAGACCACGAGGGAGATGCTCACAAAAGAAGGTCCTGCATTATATTTATTTTCAAACTTGAGCGTATCGGACCCATCTCCTAGAACTCCCAGAAGCATGAGATCATTGCCCTCTCGTCAGCTGAAGCTGGGTTCATCGTCGCAAATGCAGCAGTTCGCGAAGGGCTTTACGTGGCGGAGCTATTGCAGGAAGTGAAAGTGACGAGGAACTGGTCATTCAAGTTACTGTTCAACAGATAACCAGAGCGCGATCAAGATCGCGAACAAGCCCGGCTTCGTCAACCGCACGAAACACATCGCCCTCCGTTACTTCTTCGTGAAGGACGAAATCGACAAGGGCAAGGTCAAGCTCACCTACTGCCCAACTGGTGAAAGGGCACCAGACCTTCTGACGAGGAAATTTTTACGTCAGAAGTTTCAGTACTGTGTGGATCTGTGCGAAATCGTCAAAAGTCCCACGTGGCACACCTTGAGGAATGAAGGGGAGTGTTGGAATAACCGAAATGTATTTTCAGCATTCAATAAGGTGCAGCCTTATCGCACCTGTCACAAGCGAAGCAACACATGTACCACTACCGCGTTACCTCAGATAGTGCACGCAGGTCAACAATCACAAGTCAGCTGTCGCTACCGTTGTCCGACCTGGACCCAGAGGTTGCGAGACGCTTCAACTGTCGCAACCGTCTCGGAGCTTGATAAGGGAATGTACCCATAAGAGTACATGGCTAGCTAGAATCTATGTATAGCCTGTAATGTTTTATTATAACGAATATTGTCATTTACATTCACTGTGATCAAGGTTTTCCTATAAAGACTCACCTTGTTTCCTACATCAAACTTATATTACTCGAAGATCCTTTCCTTATTCAAACACCAAGTATCTATGTTTTTTTTTCTAAACTATTCTAGTTTATATTGTTTGATATGGTGATAATAAAACCTAAAGCTACTCCTGCTAGAGAAGGGTAAAGCCCAGATATTATAACGCGTAAGCCAAGAATAAAGTAAGGACTCAAATAAGGTGATTTTGACATATCAAGTAAAATATACAGAATCAAAGCTAGATACACCCCAGATTTGTTTTGGGGAAAATATGCCATTCGTAACCAGCATGGGACTCCATAACATATTTGGTAAGAAAAAAAAGGGTACGGTCACTGCAAAGGGTGTTTTCACGCGACTGATAAAACGTTTCACGTAATCAGTCACTATCAAATGGTAAAAAAAAAACGCGAATGGTCATAGATGAAACTCCCGCCAAAACGAAATGAAACCCAAAAGGAACTTGGATGCATTTTAGGATGAATCAACCCTAAACACGTAACTCGCCAGGTGTTTAGGGTTGATCCGTTCCCAAGTTGCATCCGATTCCGATTGGGTTTTAGTTTTGTTAGAAGTTAGCAGATTGGTTGGGCGCGAGCGAGAATTCTGTTGAGTTTCAAGTTTTTTTGGCGGGAGTTACATGTGTGACCATTCGCGTGATTTTTTACCTGTTGTTAGTGACTGAATCGGTGACCCCACTTACCAACCCGTCAGAAAACCCAATACAGTGACCGTAGCGTTTTTTTTTTACCATTCACGTTATCGAGTCCCAAGTTGGTTACTTGTGGCATATTTTCCCTTTGTTTTGTTCTAAACCTCCCAGGAGAAGCTAGCTTGGCGAGCCCAGATTTGCGCGGAACACCTGGAAACCCCCCTACCTAGCCACCTGAGTTCTACCCGTCGCGCTAATTTCGCCCGCTTTCTGGCGAATGAATTTCCGACAGAAACGGAGGTGCCAGATGGGGGTGTATCTCCTGGCCGCTCCAGACGGACCGGCAACGAGATTTAGGCGGGAAACATTATGTCGCGAGGCCAAGAGCACTGGCCTTATTGGCTGCGAAATCTCGTCACCACTCGCGTCAGTTCGTCTTGCGGCACGACGTCTGACGTGCTCGCAAACTAGACTTCGTCACCACGGGTTTGTGTGACACACTGCCGTCACTGATAAATTCCATCCCTTCCCACATTCAGTTTCTCACTCTGAAGATTGACCAGCAGCACACGCAGGATCAACCACGAGAGTTTCGGATACCGTCGATTCGCCCCATGGCGTCGTGGCAGCTTTCCGTTCTCACCCTCTGCACGCTCGCGTCACTGCTGGCGCCCGCTGCGGCGCGGCCTACCAAGGAGGACTTCATTGACGAATTAAAGAAGACTCGAGACGCGCTTGCGGATTCCAAGCTGAACAACCGATATTACGCCACCCACACGCTCCTCGACCACGTCATCCCTCAACTGGGTAAACCCTGCTGCATTTCCCGCAAGTTATGCACGCCGTTTTTTGTTGCGTTCTCTGGTACACATTTCGTTATGTTCTTTTTGGCTTGACACAGCGTCTGTTTTCGTCGCGATGATGCAGAGACCGACTGGAACCCAAACGAAGACTTCCTCAACAAAGTCGACGGCAAGACCATGCTGCTGCCCGAGGACAGCGTCATTGCTACCAAAGCCCCGGACGCGCTCGCCATGATGGTGAAATCCGGCATGAGGCGCGGCGAAGTCGACCCTTTCACCAAGCTCTTTCGCGCGCAGATGCTCGACGGTGTCTACAACTCCGAGGACGACCTCGCGAAGGCGTCAGGGCTGAAGGACGTGAATGGTCGCAGCGTGGGGAAGGATGAGATTGTGGACGCGACGACGAAGTCGAAGAAGGTGGCGATCGGAAAGGGCAAGGCTAAGATTAAGAAAGCTGGGCTTTACAAGGGAAGGTTTCTTACCATCCATGGCGTCGACGCGTCGCAGCCGGAAGAGTAATTAAGTTAGACGGATGATCGTCTTGGGGTAATAATCATGCTTTCTTGCAACGCAACGACGTCAAGGGTTGGTTGGCAGATAGGCCAAGTGGTTGAGCGCTTATCCAGTTCTGCACGCTGTTGAGGGAAGCTCTTTGTTGCTCTCTTGTTTTGCTCCAGGCTTGTGTAATCTAGTGGGTTCTCTCAAATATTTTGTACCAATTTCCCCAAGGCTGGAAACTGTTTGTATTGCGTCACATTGCAATCACAATCACCACAATACAGACCTTTCCACAGCACAATTTCTGCTGAAACCGTATCTCTGAGTGCTAAACTGGGGCATACACTCATAGCTAGACAAACCAGTCTAATGGTGCGAAAATGCTTCAGACCAGATGCACACCGGTAGAAGTGCCCTTTATTCAGATGCACACAGAAAACTGATTGCATCCTAGGTCATTTGATGTCATGTGCCTGTGTTCATGTGAGACGTCATTAGGGACGTGGCTTAAGTCACCACAAACCTTCCGTTCCTTGTGTGCAGGATGAGTGGGCGGCAGGGCTTGTGAGGGTGTGGCAGCGGGCGGGGTGAGGAGCGGTGCAGGTGGGGATGAGTGAGCAGATGCAAGGGAGATTGCACACTGCATGGCATATGGCGTGCACCAACTGGCAGCAGGGGCATGGGTGCATGGGGGGAGAGATGTGCTGAGTAGGGACACAGGGGGAGATGCATGCTGAATAATAGGGACATGGGGGAAGGGGCAGCGGATGAAGCATGAACATGGGCCCACAGCGTGCACCACCTAGGCACAGGGATGAGTGAGGGCGCATGGAAGGATGAACCTGTTGCGTAAAAACACATCGGAGCCATGCCTATGCCTTCCCTTGCCATGCCTGTGCCTTCCACTGCTCCCACGCCTTCTGAGGCTGCTCCTGCATTCTCCTCCCCATGTGCTCTCCGCGCTGGCTCTGCCCGAACCAGCAGCCTTGCAGCAAGAGCACTGCTGTCTGCAGCGTTGCTGTCTGCAGCACTGCTGTCTGCAGCACGGCTGTCTGGCCTGTATGGCCTGCACTAACTGGCATAGGGGCACGGGTGCACGGGGGAAGAAGCATGCAGAGATGGAACACAGGGGAAGGGGCAGCGGATGAAGCATGAACATGGGCCCACAGCATGCACTACCTGGGCTCAGCGGTGAGTGAGGGTGGCATGGGAAGGATGAACCTGTTGCGTCAGAACACACGGGAGCCATGCCTGTGCCTTCCCCTGCTGCCATGCCTGTGCCTTCCCCTGCTGCCATGCCTGTGCCTTCCCCTGCTGCCATGCCTGTGCCTTCCCCTACAGCCATGCCTGTGCCTTCCCCTGCTGCCATGCCTGTGCCTTCCCCTGCTCCCACGCCTGCTGCTGCTACTCCTGCAGTCTCCTCCCCATGTGCTGCGAGCCTGGCGCTGCCCGAACCAGCAGCCTTGCAGCAAAAGGACTGCTACCTGAAGGACTGCTGTTGAGAGCACTGCTGTTGCTGCCTCCTGTCTTGCTACACCCTGCGTGCACGGCACCCATGCTCCCCGGTAAGAGCAGCAGCAGGCAGGTCGCACTTGAATATCACGTCAATCCACATGCTGTTGGCGAAATTTTTCTTTATTTCGCGGTACAGTTGGTACTGGGAGGGAACGAGAGTGAATCAGTGGGAGCGGCAAGGGGGTGGGGAGTGATCAGTAAGTGAGAGAGGCAATGTGTGCGAGAAGAAAAATGTACAATTTGCCAGCAAGTGCAGACGAAACGGCGAAGGGAAGGGTTGAGTGGAAAGGGGAGAACAGTCTAATGAGAGTGTGGAAACAGCACGAGAGAACGGGATAAGGGAGTGAGGGAACGGGGGGGAAATGGCAAAGGGTAAACGAGCAACACATCCCATCCATGCGCCCACCCACCCATCCATCCACCCATCCATCCACCCATCCATCCATCCATCCATCCATCCACCCACCCACCCACCCACCCACCCACCCACCCACCCACCCACCCACCCACCCACCCACCCACCCACCCACCCACCCACCCACCCACCCACCCACCCACCCACCCTCCCACCCACCCACCCACCCACCCACCCACCCACCCACCCACCCACCCACCCACCCACCCACCCACCCACCCACACACCCACCCACCCACCCACCCACCCACCCACCCACCCACCCACCCACCCACCCAACCACCCACCCACCCACCCACCCACCCACCCACCCACCCACCCACCCACCCACCCACCCACCCACCCACACATCCACCCACCCCCCCAGCCCCAAAGCCCGACACCCACCATCCATTTCTGCTCGAACGCATGACGCCGCCGCATGAGGGAATGGCGGGGGGGGCAGCATGGTGAGTGGAGCCGCCGCGTCAGGGAGCAGCATGTTGAGCACCACTCGTTCCTCGTCGCTGCCGCCACCGCCGCTCATCACGGGGGGAAACAGTTGAACCCATCAGCACTGGAATGAACGGGGGGAGGAAAAACAAGTGGGTCAGGCAGGCAATGAGGGAAACGTTGATCCCGACGGTAACCACGGAGATACGTGAACAACAGCAGATGTTCTCTGCTTGCTGATTGCAACTCGACCAATGCACTCGCAACTCTTTCTCAACCCTTCCCACCTCGTCTCACACCTTCTCACCGTTCCTCTCCTCCTCAACCGCTGGCCCAGAAAGGGCACCCGGAGGTGGTCTGTCTGTCCAGCCGACACATGTGCATCACTTTTGGTCGACTAAAAAAACGATTGGGTTGGGTTGCGGCACCCCCGTACGCCTGCCAAGCAAACGCCACCATCGCAACACAGGGTGGTCTCTTTGAGTGAGCGGGAATTGGGAAAGACCTAAACGGACAATCGTCGTGGGTCTAATGCGGCGGTGAGAGGTTGTGGGGGCGACGGAGGAAGCACCACCACACCACTCGCCCATCCTACCCCACGACGGCGACAGCCTGTCACACGATCTGAGATCCACCGCTCTCACCCCCTCATCATCACATGGCAACCAACACCACCACCAGCCATGGGGGTGAGAGCCATGGAATCCGTCGCCGTCAGCACCACCACGAATCCGTCGCCGCCAGCACAGCGCCGCCACTCATCAGTCTGCTCGCGCGCGCGTGCTTCGCGTGCCGCAGCGCAAGAGGGAAGGAGGGACGGGGGGAGGAAGTTCTCGGCACGTGCGTTGCCGCTCACGTCTGCGCGCGCGCGCAGTCAAATGCGGGTCCAACGCGCTCGTCTCTGCCGCCGCCGCCGCTCACCTCCGCTTCGCCGCGCGCACGTGCTTGGCAGCGTGCCGTTGCGTCCTGCCGCTCATTTCGCAGCGGGCGACACGGCAGGCGTCTTTGTGCGGCGGGGATTCAGCGCTCGTGAACCAGAAGGTGGCACGGGGGAGGTGCGGAATGGCGACGGACGGAACGTGACGGCGAGAGAGGGACAGAGATGCAGAAAGGGTCGATGCGTGCCGCGACAACGGCGCCATGTGAGGTTGAAAAACGCGCAGCGGCGGCGACATGGGGGACGACACGGGTACTGGCGACACACGCACCAGTCGCGGCGCGCACGTCGGTTCTGTTAATCGCTCGTCACCGTGCGAGATCGTTATATGCGACGCTCAACGACGGACGACCCCGACGAGGTCGACACGAACGGGAAGTTGCTCGTGGCTGACGATTCGCCAAGGGACTGCGAGACGGTTCGGGTGCTGACAGACCGAGAAGCAATGGCCCCATTCGCCAGCACTTCAGAGGATTTGAAGGCAACGGGACCACAGAGGAACCACCCGAATAGGTTTGGGGGTTCGACAACCTCACGAATCTTCCCGCCAGAAAGGGGAAGGTGGCAACGGAATCGAGAACCACCCTCCCCACCTTCCGAGCTGCCTAGGCTGTTCCGTAGGCGCCCAGTGTGACTGGACCAACTCGCACTGCGGAAACCTCTGACGTCTTTCGTAGCCTCGGGCGTCCACTCGCACTGAATGGAAATTCCGGGTTTATTTCGGGTTTATTCCCTTGAAATGTTTTAGTAATTCCTTAAAACAATTTTGTTACTGTACCAGATTGCCCCACAATCAAATTGAACTTGCCCGTAGCAATGCTACCCTGCTATTTAGAAAGAAAAACAAAACCGTGAGACACATAGCGCAAGCTCTCTTTGCCTTAAGGACGTGGGCCCAATCGAGTTTGATCGCGACTGATCTGATCGGGTCAGATCTGATCGGGTTGCTTGTGATTGCAATGCCCGAGCCGCCCAATCAGAGATGTTTTTTGGAGAAACTTCTCTGCGACTGCACAGCAAGAGCGGTCTAATTACCTCGCATTTTCTTCCCAATTCTAGCGAGATTGGCGACCAGATGTCACCTGGCAAAAAACAATCCCAGTAATATCGTAAACCCCAGTTTGTGTAACTGTTCGCAAGCATTGATGTGGTCCTCGATCACATGCAATCAAGTGATCGCATGTGATCGAGGAAAATAAACTCTCATCATGGTGAAAATCGGCTCTGGTCGTGTTGGGGCGATCAGTTGATCGCGATCAGCTGATTGCCCCGATTGCATGAAATTCGCTTCCAGGCTTCCTGGACATTGTTGGTTGCGTGTGATCGATTGGGCCCACGTCCTAAAGAGGTAAGATATTCGTTTTCTCCCTGAAACAACTCTAATTCCAAGTTAACCCTCCCATGCACCACTCAAAGTGGCCCTCGCCGAGTGAAACTGAAACCCCCTGAGTGGGAGCCTCGTCCACTACGAGTCCAGTTTGGCTGGGAAAGTTTTTTTCCAAGCAGATTCGGCGCCCCCACTCAGTATTTGGTTTTTTTTGTGTTGTGTAGCCAGCTCGCACTGGGCAAGTCCGGTATTCCAATATCGACTTAGTGGGCTTTAACAATGCCCGGATTCGTACAAGGAACCTGCCCTGCACCAACCGCAGTGTGAGTCGGGCGCCTACCGAACATGACTCTAACTTTGGTTCGTAAGGAAGGATCCTAACCAGGGGCTTCAAAGACGTCGAAGGGTAAAAAACGTTGGGAAAAAATGGTCGCGTCAACTGTGTTGCAATTACAAGGGCAGATCTACACGTCAAATGTGCAAATGACCCTTATGGTTGTAAGCGAGTAGGCAAATGATCCTTATGAGGATCTATCTCATGTTACCATAAATCCTCAATGCCGACGCCATCCCTTTGCAATTCTACGTAAGGGGGGGGGGGGGGGGGGGGGGGGGGGGGAGACGATGGAATGGCACTGGACGAAACCCTTGGCTGGAGACAAATATGCGGGGTTGTTTCCGACGTCCGTTGTTCCGTCTAAAATTGTGAGGTTTCGACTTGCCGATATGATTCCGCTTGGTTCAGACAGAATCACAGGCTCGGCAAATTTTTATTTTTTTATTTTGCTGGCCAACTCTTAAACCTTAACAGGCATAACCAGTACGTCGTTGCTTCCATTTGTTTCCGCCTCAAAAGTGCTGGCGAACATGGTCTTCGGGAAGGCAATTAGGACGATAGAAACAATGCTAGAAATGGGATCGTGGGAATGTCAGAATCCTAAGCAGAAAGATAGAACACGAAAGAGGGTTTGCACTAGCAGGCAGTTGAGTACATATAGGAAACCCTAATTTGGGCTGTACTCGATATAGAGTACCCCACTGCAGGCTAGACAAATATAACATTATGACACACCCCCATAGTCAAAGTGGGGTATAATCAGCACAGCAAGCAGTCACAGAGCAGATTCACAAGTACAAGCAAAGCTAGAGGCATTCACAGAGGGCAAGTGAGGAGGAGGAGGGACTGTGAGAGGAGAGGAGATGGGAGGCGACGACTGAAGCTGCAGACACACGGGCAACAGGAGCGGCTGACTCAGTGGCTACCGGAGATTGTAGCCTCCGGACTACAGGAGTAACTGGCTCCGCGGCTACGCCGAGCGGCTGGAGCAACTGACCCACGGGCGACTGGCGCAGCAGGCTCGCTGGGCTACCGGAGATTGTAGCCTCCGGACTACTGGCGCTGCTGGCGACACGACGGCTCAACCTCCGCTCAACCTCCCCCAACTGTCCCACCCCCCTTTCACACACCCCTTGCTGCACCCGTAGCTCCACTCCCACGTCACGCCCCTAGCACCACTCCTTCGGCTCCCACACACCCACCCCCCTCAGCGGCAGCTGCAGCAGTGGGAGACGGAGGAGGAGGAGGAGGAGCAGGGGACGCCTCACACACCCGCCACCCCCATACCCGCCACCCCCACACCCCGAACGCAGGCGGCGTGGGGCAGAAACGCGGGCAGCAGTTGGGGCGGCGTGCGAGCAGAAGCGGGGCAGCGCGCGGGCCCCCGGGGCGCCGCGACGAGCGACGGGAGGGGGCGACGCGCGGGCCCCCAGGGCGCCGCGACGGGCGACGGGAGGGAGGGCGTGCGCGGGTCCCCCAAGGCGCCGCGACGGGCGACGGGATGGCGGAGGGGGCGCTCGCGGGTCCCCCAGGGCGCCG